TTCATAGTCACATATAATCTGCAAAAACCTCACAATCTTACAGCCACCATCAACAATCCGCAGAAAACCCAGATCTTTGCTGCCTACGTGGAGGAAGAATCCTCTAAAGATTTAAAAGATTCCGATCAGCGGCAAAGGCTTTGCCAAGACCTAAAGAAGGGATCACAACGAGAGCTAAGAGCTAAGAGGACGAAGACTCACTGAGAAAAGGAAAAGCAGCTCCGATTAACTGAACATTGGCATACCAAGGTGAAATTAGGGGAGATGGGAAAATAAATCTATTAAGTTAAGTAGAAAGCCAGAAGCGGAAGAAAAGGATATGGCAAAGAGCCCTAAGCAATAAATCCACTAACCATGGGAACCATCAAGATCTTTATTTTTGGCTTTCATAGTCACATATAATATGCAAAAAACCCCACAATCTTACAGCCACCATCAATAATCCGCAGAAAACCCAGATCTTTGCTGTCTACGTTGAGGAAGAATCCGCTAAAGATTTAAAAGATTCCGATCAACGACAAAGGCTTTGCCAAGACCTAAAGAAGGGATCACAGCGAAAGCTAAGAGCTAAGAGGACGAAGACTCACTGAGAAAAGGAAAAGCAGCTCCGATTAACTGAACATTGACATACCAAGGTGAAATTAGGGGAGATTGACAAATAAATCTATTAAGTTAAGTAGAAAGCCAGAAGCGGAAGGAAAGGATATGGCAAAGAGCCCTAAGCAATAAACCCACTAACCATGGGAACCATCCAGATCTTTATTTTTGACTTTCATAGTCACATATATTCTGCAAAAAACCCCACAATCTTACAGCCACCATCAACAATCCGCAGAAAACCCAGATCAAACTGAATTAGTTACTGGGATGGCTTCTTGACAAAAAGAACAGAGCATTTCGCATTGTAGACATAGTAATTGCTAACGCTTCCCAAGAATACCTTGCCCAGCCCACCAACCATCGCAGATCCTCCATTACTACAAACCCAACTACACAACACGAAACACACTATGAATAAAATAAGTCCATAGGAAACTACCTATATGAATAGGTCACCTGCTATGGCTTCCCAGCACAAGCAATTTGATGTCATGCTTCTCCGTCGCTTTACACATCATGTCTAACTTTCGGATTCCCTTTCACCTCTCTGGTTCTGGCGAAGCAGAAGGGTGGCACATCTTAGCTTACTCGAGCGTCGCGTCCCTCGAGATCCACCAGGCCTTGACCCAATCAAATTGGGAAGTCTATGGCGGTCTTCGCTATGGCCGCTCCCGAGGGTATCCCGATCCTCATCGCCTGACTTCCATCTCCTCCCCTTGACCAGAAACCCAGAAAAAATCCAAAACTGAATAGAGGTCAGAACCCTAAAATCCCCATACCATAATCAAACCCAAAATATGACACACAAATGAAAAAAAAAAACTGACTTTCAACCTCTATTGCTGTTGTTAGGGGTGGACATTGGGTGGGTCGGGTGGATTTTGACCATAAAATGCACCCACCCGCGCTTAAACGGATTGATAATTTTTAACCCACCACCCACCCACATTTAGTCTCGGGTTGGGTTGGGTCGGACAGATGGTGGATGATGCGGGTGGGTTTGTGAGTTCACCCACATCACAATGTATATAATATAAAAGAGTAAACTTGACATGATAATAGGTGAAGAGAATCATCGAGGGAAACAATAAGTTGAAATAGGGCGAAAAATGTCGAATTAGTTCTTAAATTGGATAGAAATTCTATTATGAAAGAGTTTTCTACAGATTGAGACGATTATTAGGTGCAAGGAACTAAGGAAAATAATTCCACAAAGGAAAGAGCGGTGATCTAGGCACAAGAATTAGAGGAAAAAGTAAAGGGAAGAAGAGGGGGATCTCTATTTGGAAGGTTGGCTTTGAGGTTCAAACTCCAGGAGCAGTCCGAGTTTATATCTAACGTCTCCACTCTCCTCTCTCTAGCGCCAACGACTTTGATATTTTTGCTGTTGGGTTGAGCGGGTCACCCGCACACTCACCCACAACCCACCCACCACCCGGCGGATGGCTCCCAGCACAATCCGTCACCCACCCACAGACCCACCCACTTAACCAAATTCAGGTAAAATGCGGATGGGTCGGCCCAAACCCGCGGATGATCCGGCCGCATGCCCAGCCCTAGCTGTCGTTTCTTGCCGTTGCCGACATCGAACGACGCCAGTTTCGTCGTTGCTGTCATCTTTCTCTTTTTCTCATCGTTACTAGAAAAACAAGAGAGCAAAGAGGGTAGATCGAGGGGTTTGGAAGGAAGTGTAGCTCTGGTATGCTTTCCTAGAGGGGAAACAAAGATAAAGAGGATGGAAAACAATAGAGAGGAGAGAAGAGGAGTGGTCGTAATTTTGGTGGTGGTTGGAGAGCTGGTGGTCGAAATTTGTGTTTTTCCGGTGGAAACATACAAGAGAGGAGAGGAGAGGAGGGAAGAGACTTAAAAAAGCAAATTATTATTTTTATTTAATCATTGTATTTGTCGAGGATGTGAGGTGGAATTAAAAAATATTATCTTTTATTTTTTATTTTTCAATTATCACATCACTCATTTAATGGCCAATTATTTAAGTTGATTGCCACTTATGATGGATTTAACGGAGATGGACGGAGAGTGATCATTGATGAAACGAAAATATAAATTCAGTGACCATGAATGAAATTACATATTTTTAGTGACCAAATACGAAACTTTTTTGTATTCCCATTTCCCAGTGACCAACCTTGCAATATACTAGGGATGGCAATGGGTCGGGTTGGGTCGGGTTTTGCCAAACCCAAACCCATGAGTTTATCCGTGAAAAAAATCCAGGGTAAAACCCATTGGGTTTGAAAAACTCAAACCCAACCCAACCCGTTGGGTATCCGCGGATTCATGGGTACCCACGGATTTTTGTCGTAAAAAATTTACAATAACAAGTTCTTATCAAGATTAAAGTCAAATATCAATCTCTCAATACAAATTATCCATATACAAAATACTATTATAGAAAATTCAATAACTATACAAATGGTTCAACACCAATCTAGAAAACTCAAGAAAATTGAAGTCAATCACAAATTATCCATAAATAACATGATTAATTGAAAGCTTCTTCCTTTCAATTAAGTTTCTTCACTCTTCACTCGATAACATCAACTTCATTCTACACAATTAGAAAAAAAATTAGACATGTCTCTAGGGATGGCAATTAAACCCATGGCCGCGGGTACCGGACCGCCCCCGACCCAGTCAACGCGGTATGGGGCGGGTATGGTTTTAGCCTCCCCCGCCCCATACCCATACCCATACCCGCCCCACCAAGAGAATTTCTTCACATATCAAAAAATATGTGGATTAAATTGTAATCTATCAATGATGATGATGATAACTCGAGAAAATAAATAGTAGAAATGCAATTGAGTAACCACCTTAATCAAAACCTAATTCATTTCCCTCAATTCTCCTTCCACTCTTTCACTTTCCCCCTTGTCAACAAGATTATGTTAGTTAATTATTACTTAGTAAATGTATCAAGAGTTAGAGCATAATAATTTAAAAAATATTGTAGTCTATATTATATATTAATGGATGTTTTAGGATCATATTCTTTGAATCGTATTTAGAAAATGACCGTGTTTTGTTGACTTCATGATATAATAGGTTTGTTTATGGTTATAATTAAAACTTTTCTTATAAGTTTTAGGTATAATAATGTTGGATGTACGGGGATGCGTATTTTTTTTATTTTTATGAATGTACGGGGATGGGTATTAGCCATGGGTACCCGAGACCCACGGGTATGGGGATGGGTTTGCAAAACATTCCCCCGCATGGGTATGGGGCGGGTATGGGTTTGGGTATTTGAAGATGGGGATGGGGATGATTTAAGCAAACCCGCCCCATTGCCATCCCTATATGTCTCCATAAACATAAATAATATTAGTTGTTTAGAATATTAAATACATCGAGAAAATTAATTTATGGGTGTGGGCGGGTACCCATGGACCGGGTTTACCTAAACCCAAACCCAACCCAATGAATAGTAAACGGGTTTAAACCCAAACCCGGCCCAAAACCCGTCAACACGGATTTTACTTACATTGACCGGGTTGGGTCAGGTGGGTACCCGTGGGTTCGGGTTTTGTTGCCATCCCTACAATATACCCTTCAATACTAGAAGCACAATCGACTTTACACCATTCATCAACCTTTTAATACTAAAACTTATTAGTAATCCCATTGATTAAGGTAAAGATTTCGAACATGCCCAGCTCCCATAGTAGGACGGAGGGTGTGTACAAGGTCCAAAAACGAATTCACCGTCGTATAGCTGACCAGCGATCACGGCTTCATGCAAGCAAGTTGCAGCCTGACCCATACTCCCAACACCGTATCACAAAACTATGCCATATTTCAACGACCACCATGCCTCCAAAGTTGAGGATCGGGAGGGCCCAGCGGTGTCGAAAAAGAGAAAAAAACAGACGACAAACGATCAACAGATAACTGAAATGGACAGGGAAACTGAAAAACAGAATCAAACCCTTGAATGCAACGCTGCGCTGGCCACACATCAATAAAACACAGAATATAAAGAGAGAAGAACCATTCCTGCGACGACTTCAACGTGTATATATATATAATTAAGAAGGAACTTTTCAATCCGGACTTGGAGAGATCCTTTACTATACTGACCAGGCGCCAATTAAGCCATGTATCACAGCGCAACTCTGAGCTTCATTTTGGCCACAAATCGTGGCCCAGGCCATATACCGGCAATAAGTCAGAGAGCTCAAACGACTCTAGCAGCAAACACATCAAATATTGAAACGTACACTTTTTCACAGCCTATCTCTCATGAATTGATGAAAGATCCCGCCTTAACTTGGCTCTAGAAGTAAGTTACTATACACAACATCAACTCTAAAGGAAGCTGGGAAAGAACAGATCCCATATATTATCATCAGCAGCAGTGATACAACAATGCAAAACCATCATCTCCCCTCGGACTTGACCAGCTGGGAGAACACCTTACTCATTGAAGCATTCGAGATGTCATCGTCGATAGGAGACACTCCAAACGGCGCTACAGAGACCGAGCTATCCACTTGGCTTAAGTTGTTGACCTGTGGAGAGAGATCACCAATCATGTTCGTACTGTTATCCTCGGGTTCTCCTGCAGCAACTGCCTCCTGAAGCTGAAGAGCATACTCCAAGTTCCACAACACATCTCCCATGGAAGGTCTGTCTACACCGTACTCAGCCAAGCATTTCTCGGCGGTTTCTCCAAACTTCCTCAGCGAATCTGGTCTGATTTTCCCCACCAGAGACTGATCGATGATCTGCTCCAACTGTCCTTTCTTCTGCCACTTCATCGCCCATTCTGCCAAGTTCACCATTTCCCTAGCCAGAGTGGGATCGATAACGGGCCTCGCACATAGTACTTCGAACAACACCACCCCAAATGAATACACGTCTGATTTATCCGTCAGCTGCTGCCTTCTGAAGTACTCCGGATCGAGGTACCCGAAACTACCTTTGACCGCAGTGCTAACATGGGTCTGGTCGATTTCGGGACCAGTCTTTGAGAGCCCGAAATCGGCCACCTTCGCCATGAGATTCTCATCCAGCAATATATTGGCAGACTTCACATCGCGATGGATAACTGCCTTGGCATAGCCAGTGTGGAGATAATGAAGCCCTCTAGCTGCTCCGATGCAGGCCTCGAGCCTTTCCTTCCACCCCAAGCTAGGATGCTCGGACCCATAGAGATGACTCTTGAGAGTACCGTTCTGCATGTACTCATACACCAAAATCATCTCGTTCTTCTCATCACAGTAACCTATGAGGGAAACGAGATGGCGGTGTCGGAACTGAGAAAGCATCTCAATCTCGGTCTGGAACTCTGCCAGCCCCTGTTGGGATCGAGGGTTGCCCCTTTTACAAGCAACTTCAGTACCATCATTCAGAACTCCCTTGTATACTTTCCCGAACCCACCGATGCCTATAACCCGATTCTCATCAAAGTTGTTCGTGGCATCTGAAACCTGCACGAACGGAATCCGGTACTGGAGGTTGTTGCTAGCAGCCGTTCCATTCGAGTACTTGCTCCCAGTGGTATGAGAATGGCCACTGATCGATATCGGCATCCATGTCTTGGAATGCCCCATGGCTTCCTGCTCCTTTCTTCTTCGGAAAGTCAGAACAAGACATACAACCAAGAATAGTGCAATTGCACATCCAACGACCGCTCCTATAATCGCCCATACTTTGCTCTTGGAACCATGATTTTTTGGAGATACAGCAGCAGAACCACTAAGACTGCCCATGGAGTTGTTCATCTTCATAATCTCGAGCCCATTCAGAAGCGCATCAGGATACGAACCCAAATTACTGGGTCCAATACTCACACGAAGCGTGTTATCAGAGATCAAAGGCGTTACCACATCTCGATAGTAAGCAGCACCAAGAACATTGGACGAAGTTGCGCTGATATCGAAGTCCTTAATAGCCAACAATGAGTTCACGTAAACATCAAACACAAGTTGATTAAGCGAACCATTCTGCCGTATATCACAGAAGTGGAATCTCACAAGATACTGAAACCCAAGATCCACATTGAACTGCCACGTCACATTGAAGTTGTTATTAGGAGTACCTGCTGAAGCCATCTCCGAGGCAGTACCATAGACACTCTTTGGAGCAACCTCCTCTGATGAGCCATCGGCGACATAAGTGACCGCACGAACATTGTTTATCTTCTGCCGAGAGCTCTCCTCGAGTAAGAACTCGCCGTCGGGAACCCAAGTTCGCCACAAGGTGTCATTGGCATAGTTGAGCAATAGCCCGCCCATGTTCACTCTGTAGATTGTTTCCAGAGCTTGCCACACCACTCCGATGAAATCCGCCTTGGGGTTGTACGTGAATGCGCCTTCTTGGATGAGGTTATCTGGCACCGACGTCACTTCCATGGCGTTGACATAGGCGAACGAGTTCGCGGATGGGGCGAATGTGATGGGGAGGGTGCTCGATGTTACATTGATGGAGAACTCCTTGACCTTGATGCCGTTGACAGTGAACTTGCTGAGAAGGCCGTGGTTTGGCGTGGAGACGTCGAAGCTGAATTGGCTCATGTTGTAAGTTGAGTAGACGAAAGGGTAGAAGTGAAGGCGGATGAAATGGCGGCCTGGTCGGTTGATGGAGAATGTGTAGGTGGAAGGCTTGTCGAAGATTCTTGCGGTTTGGTAGAGAGGCGAGGAATCGTCGGGAGTCGGGTTTGTGGAGGTACTGGCGATGACATGGTTAGGGGTGGAGAGAAGCTTTGAATCGGATTTATCGGCGGAAAATACGCGGCTGCCGACCTTGGTGTCTGAGTCGGATCCACAGTTGACAAGGTAATTATCGGCAGGAACAAAATCTAGGGAGGAACATAGGAGGGCTAAGGTTAAGGAGGAGAAAATCCAGATCAAAGTCCTACTACCCATTTTGGTTAGTATTGAGATCTGGGGTTTGAGAAAAAAAAAAGCCACAGATAGAAGATCAAAAGCATAGGAAGGGTGATTGAGTAAGGAAGTGAGACATGATTCTAATCAGAGATTGCATAAGAAGAATCAAGCAGAAGAGGGGAAGGGAGGAAAACTATCAAGAACCCATGAAGATTAGAGGAGAGGGAAGGGGAAAGATGGAACTTTCAGAGATCAAAACGAGGTCCAACCAAAACCCTAGACGAGACGCAGAGGCCAGAAATGGCGAATCCTGGGGGCAGAGGGGTATGGTGTGGTTTGGAGAATGATGGGTAGGGTTTCCTTTTTCTGTCTGGCCCCTTCCTCTCCGACTCCAGACACAAAAAAAAATCTAGCAAATTGACAACCAAAAAATGCTGCAACGAGGCAGCAAGCGATCTGGGGTGCGGGTGGAGGACAACACAGGGTATTGAGAGAAGATACCCAAGATTAGTTTTCCATTTCAATAAAGTAATAGCAGGTTGGGAACAAAGTGAAGAGAAGTTTGGACATACAGAGAAGAGAGAGGGAAGGGGTCAAACAAAATAACGCACAGAGGAAGAGATCAGTTATGGCTTTTTCCTTGAGAGACAGCGGGCCGGCCTAGACGAGACGAAAGACTTGAACATGTTTCGCTGGCACTCCGACAAAATAACAGTTCTTTACTTCTCTTCCCCGTCTTTATGTATTTGGTAGAAGAGACAGAGACTGGGAGACTGGGATTTCCTCTCAAAGGACTCGGAGTGAATTCTTGGTGTGGCTTTAATGGAGGTCGTGGTGGGAGGGAGGGGTAGGGGCGTAGGGCGGAAAATGGGATGGTTCATATTGGATCACACTCTACCAAATCGATGTTTGGACCGGCTCACATCGAATCAAATATAATTTGGTCTGGTTTTTGGTCCCATGAATTTTATAGGGTTAATACCTTATTTTGGTCCGAATTATATCCAAACTTTCTATTTTGGTCCATGGTTTCTGAAATTGCTCCCCTGGCCTGAACTATGCACGATATTTCCTTGTTTGGTCCGGTGCGGATTTTGACCGTCATCTCCATTGATCGTTACTCAAGCGCCAGTTCACTTGCCAAGTCAGCAAAACCAAAATAAATTTTTTGAATTTTTGTAATTATTTTCGTTACCCAATTTTCAAATTTTTTTTTGTTAATTATTATTGTTATTAGAAAAGAAATGAATTAAATAAATTAAAATCCCAACTTTTTAATTTCGGGTTGAATAGAGAATAGTAATTCAAACATGCAAGAAATTTTCTTTGGTTGCACTTCTTGTTAATCTCATCTTATTTGATTGAATTAAACTTGTAAGCTGGTAGGGGTGGAATATTGTCGAATGCTATGACCTCGGTATTTGATTCAAACTTGAGACCAATTTGTTTGTAACTGGTCTATAATCTCATATTGTCGTACTAACCTTGAAGTTCTTGATAGTGTAGACTCCCTGGCTACCGATTCGACAATGTACTTAATCTCCAATTGAATAAAAATTTACTTCACGTCCATCATTTAGAGACCAGTCCAGTTTACCTCTAATAGAAGTTAAGGAGAATACTTCATTATCGCCTCAAATATGTTCCAAAAAGTGACGTTCCAATGAAGTATTTGCTTGTAATAGCAAATTCAAAACCTCTGGAGGCTGCCATCGAGGAGAGACGTTCACTTTACATTGTCTTCAACACAATGAAAACTTTGGTTCATTGGAATTCCTCGTGAGTTTGGTACTTTTGCCCTTCAACATCATCGCTCCACAATATTCATATTTATGTGATGGAGTTTCAATATAAAACACCACGATAACTGCAATAAAATTAAAACTCCAATATTAGAATTACATTTGATTCAAATTATAACATTATAATAAATGAAGGAAACATAGAATTTGAAGTTCGGTATAGGAATCAGTAAAATAAGCAATCTTAGCAGCCAACATAAAATTTGCTAACATATAAATCTAAAACATACATAAAAGCAATGGATTGATAGTAGGAATGTTAACAATTTTTCCATATATACGCTTTTGCCTTATATAAAGAGCATTTTCCTTCTTGCTAATTTTGTCAATGGTTGATCAATTCTCTTAGGGGTCATTTGGATGCAGGTTTTGGGTGTGGGATTTGGGCACAATCCTACATAGTGTGGGATTTTAATTAAAATCACTCATTTGAAAAGCAATTATATGATAATAGATTTTAAATATTAGAGATTTCAGAAACCCACAATTGTGGGATTATGAAATAGCTGATGGTGATCAGCTATTTTAAAATCCCACACAAATCCCACAAATTAAAAACCTGGGTTTTTAAACCAGTGATTTGAGCCAAAATCTCACAAATTAAAAATCTGGATCCAAATGACCCCTTAAACTTTGACTTGTGTGCATCAATTTCTGAAAAATGTAAAATGAGAAGTAATAGGTTTGTAAGATCAAGTTGTGCGAAATAGTTAGAGAGATCATAATCAATTGGTAATTCATCGATGCTCATACCATCTTAATTTTTTTTTTGCACTTAAAATAGAGACTGATTAGAATCCACCACACCTTCTGATGGTCTAAAAATAACTATTTTTCCCTTAATAAAACGTGGCATGGACACTCATTAAATGGTAAGAAGTATATAATTGTGTTAATAAAAAATATATGTACTTGTATTTAATTTTTTAACGGTAGAGTTTAAAGAGTATTTCATTCTCCATGATAAATATTTCTGCCATTCATATAACTACAAAAAATTAATTACTTAAATCTGGTTTATGGTTTCTAATATAAATGACATTTTTCTGGATTCAGTACAACAGCGAATCTAGGATTTAGTAGAGCACTGGGCTGTATTTGAATAGAAAATTAAATATGGTCAATGAATTTTGCCCAAATTTGAGAGTATATAATATGGTACCTCATTCTTAAAAGAATGCATCTCATTTTCTTCAACAAGTTTGTCTATAATTAGAACTCTTCAAATAAGTTTGTCATTTATCTTCAAATATGCATAATCAAATAGCACAATAATTGTATACATTCTCAAGTTTTTAATTCACTTCCTAATTCTAATGGTTCACTCCTTGTCCTCTCTTTTTCTCAAAATTAGGTCACTTGTCCATATCATTTCTCCAAATAAACCACCGGTACTTCTCGATTTCTATTTACAAACTCCCTATATTCTAAAGGCTCCGTTCCATTCTACTCGGCACATTTACTACCGACGCACTACTAGACTCATGCACTAATAGCCCACGTAACCCCTACTACTCCTAATTGACCCATCACAAACCCCTATTCATGAAACATTTTTAAACAAATAAAGAAGCTAATACTAGCAATAATCCCCCTATCCAAACCACATATGCATCAAACATTACAGTTTTGGTGATGAACTGTAACTCACAGTTCCAGAGTTTTACTTGTAAGTAACAAGCGAGAGCACAAAATTGATATAAAAACCCCTTTTGTTTTTTATTGATTGATTCCCAAGACTAACGCGGTAAATACATTTATATAATATAATATGTAGCCCTACCTATTAGCCTAACTGTAGTCGAACCCTTCACTTCTCCCTGGCTAACTCGGCAACCTAGCACTACTAATCTTCTAATTAAGCCCATGCACTAATAATCCAAAACCCACATACATAAGCCCAACAATTACCCATTACCCACTTCACGACACAACTAACTTGCTTGGAGTTCATAGCTCCATCATTTGGCGGTTGGGAGGCGGACGAGAGGGCTGCGCCAACATGATTAGCAGTGGGCCAAAAGATGTGGAGGGGGCTCAATATAACCTCTGGATCCAAAGGAGGTCTGGCCCAGCCCTGGATCCGCCACTGATTCATTACTAATTGTACCATCCAAAGCGAACTAATTCAGTACTAATTGTACCCTCCAAAGCGAAGCAGTTAAGGAACAAATTAGCCCTAGCAATCTAAATAATATAAGTAAAATAGTTTATTATGGTAGGGTTCTAAGTTCTAACATGAACATTAAAACATAAATTAATTACTTAAGAAAACAGAAGTTTACCTGCTCATGGTTATCATGTTAGTGCCATGTCCATATGTAGAATAAATTTTAACTGGTACCGGTTAGAAAACCTCATGGAATGCTTCCGATATGACTAGCATGATCGATTTTCAACCTTTAAACAATATGATGTCGTTTTGGTGAATTTATTTGATAAAAGAAATTGATTTGTTTTTTTTAATTGAAAGTTAAATATTGATGTTATTTGATTGATTCAAGTTTGAATCATACACTTGTCAAGCCAACATAACGGTATAAACCGGTTTAACAATTTTTTACTTCTCTACATATTTAGTAAAACATGCAAGAACTGACATAAATTGATCGTACTATCGATCGAATTATACCACTTATCAAACCGATATAATTGTATAAACCGGTTCGATAATCTTAAACTTGCTCTTCTCTTCGTCGCCTATATCAATGTAAAACCAATTATGAGAACAATTGATAATATATAGTATAGGAAATAATATATTGTCGGCGGTAGCTACAGTACAGGGACATCCGATGGAGAGTAATATATATCTACACAATATACACCATATATAAATTCAAAACATTGGTTGGCTTTGCAGCAATTTGAATTTGCTGCCACTGAGTGATTGACAAAAGGGTACTTGGGTATTTGACACCCACCACTAATTAGAACTCTGCGTTTTGTTTCCTTTATCCGTGCCTTTCATTCTTGGCACACACCATTTTCCACGGATTTGGGGAACGGATCATGTCAGTAATTTTATGGTCAGTAATCATGAGTAATCCGTCCACATCAGCATGACATCAGTATCCCTATCTTTCCTGAAAAGTCTTTTATTTTTTCCCCTTTAATCTTGAACGAACGATTTCTCTCTCGTTTTAAGTCGAAATTTAATTTTTTTGCACAGATAAATTAGATTAAATATGCTCTTTAAAATGATATCCACTTTGATATATTTTTAGTACCAAAAAA